TGAGTGAGAGTGTAAATGTGTGTGGGTGAGTGTGAGAGATCAAGTGAGTGTGCATGATTGTGTGTGTATGTGTGTGTGTGTGTGTGTGTGTGTGTGTGTGCATATGTGAGAGAGAAAGTGTGTCTGTGTTTGTATGTGTACTGTATACAGTACGTGTGTATACAAGTGTGTGTTTGTGTGAGTGTGTCCATGAGAGAGTGTGTAAGTGTGTGTGTTTTTGTGAGTGTGTCTGTGTATGAGAGAGGGTGAGTGTGTGTGTATGTGTGTGTGTATGTGTGTGTGTGTGTGTGTGTGTGTGTGTGTGTGTGTGTGTGTGTGTGTGTGTGTCTTTCCCTGTGGCAGGAGCACTGGAGTGGATGCTTCAGACCTGGAAGGCACTTTTCAGCCTGGTCACACACACTGAGGCCCTGCTGCTTGGCTGCGCACCATGGGTCACCGGCTTACATTAGAAAAACCCCAGAAAACACAGTCAAGCGTGCTGCTCCAACATACCTGAAAAACACACAGTGTTAAAACACAGCCGTACACTCGACACTGCAACAAATAAACACCAATTGCTTTCTATGCTCTACTGTCAAAATCACTTACAGAATCAATATAACTTCAATCTTGTATCACCTGCTAGAGATACATAGATATGTGAATGTCCATGCTTTTATTTATGTGTTTGTGTGATTGTTTGTTTGTTTTTGTATTTTATTATTATTGTTGTTGTTGTTATTGTTTTATTGTTATTATTATTATTATTATTATTATTATTATAAGCATTATTATTATTAGCATTATTATTAATATTATTATTATTATTATTAGCATTATTATTAATATTATTATTATTATTATTAGCATTATTATTATTAGGATTATTATTAGCATTTTTATTATTATTATTATTATTATTATTATTATTATTGCTGTTGTGATTGTTGTTGTTATTACTGTTGTTGTTGTTACTATTATTATTACTGTTGTCATTTCTGTTGTTGTTGTTGTTATTGTTTCTGTTACTGTTGTTGTTGTTAATGTTACTATTATTGTTGTTGTTACTATTATTATTTATGTTGTTGTTATTATTGTTGTTGTTATTGTTGTTGTTGTTGTTATTATTATTATTTATGTTGTTGTTATTATTGTTGTTGTTATTGTTGTTGTTGTTATTGTTACTATTGTTACTATTATTACTGTTGTTGTTGTTGTTGTTGTTAATAGTGTTATTATTATTATTGGTGTTGTTGGTATTATTGTTACTATTATTATTGTTGTTGTTATTATTATTATTACTGTTGTCATTTCTGTTGTTGTTGTTGTTATTGTTTCTGTTACTGTTGTTGTTAATGTTACTATTATTGTTGTTGTTGTTGTTACTATTATTATTACTGTTGTCATTTCTGTTGTTGTTGTTGTTGTTGTTGTTATTGTTTCTGTTACTGTTGTTGTTGTTAATGTTACTATTATTGTTGTTGTTGTTGTTACTATTATTATTACTGTTGTCATTTCTGTTGTTGTTGTTGTTGTTATTGTTTCTGTTACTGTTGCTGTTGTTAATGTTACTATTATTGTTGTTGTTGTTACTAATATTATTTTTGTTGTTGTTATTATTGTTGTTGTTATTGTTGTTATTATTATTGCTCTTGTTGTTGTTGTTGTTGTTGTTGTTGGTATTATTGTTACTATTATTATTGTTGTTGTTGTTATTATTATTATTGTTATTATTATTATTGTTGTTGTTACTATTGTTACTATTATTACTGTTGTTGTTGTTGTTGTTCTTATTGTTTCTGTTACTGTTGTTGTTGTTAATGTTACAATTTTTGTTGTTGTTGTTGTTACTATTATTATTTTTGTTGTTGTTATTATTGTTGTTATTGTTTTTATTAATATTGCTATTGTTGTTGCTGTTGTTGCTGTTGTTTTTGATGTTATTATTATTATTATTATTATTGTTGTTGGTGTTACTATTGTTACTGTTGTTGGTATTATTATGATTAGTGTTGTTGTTGTTCTTCTTCTTCTTCTTCTTCTTATTATTATTCTTCTCATTATTCTTCTTCTTATTATTATTATTTTTGTTGTTGTTGTTGTTGTTGTTTTTATTGTTGTTACTATTTTTATTTTTACTGTTGTTCTTGTTTTTGTTGTTGTTGTTGTTGTTATTATTATTCATAAAGGTGGCATGGTGGCGCAGTGGGTAGCGCTGTCACTTCACAGCAAGAAGGAAGCTGGTTTGAGTCTTGACTGGGCCAGTTGGCATTTCTGTGTTCTCCCCATGTTCGTGTGGGTTTCCTCCTGTTGCTTCGGCCCCACAGTCCAAACACATGTGCTGGAGATGAATTAACTGTAGTGTATAACTGTGTGTGAATGTGAGAGTGTATGGATGTTTCCCAGTAATAGGTTGCAGCTGGAAGGATATTGAAGGAAAGTGAATGAATGATTGTATTATTATTATTATTAGTAGTATTATCATTATTATTATTATTATTATTATTATTATTATTATTATTAATATTTCTTTTCAAATTTTCTATGTTTGTTTTTTTATTTCTTCAGTACAAAAAGCTCCTAAAGATGTTGTTTAAACATTAATAATAAGATAAACAGCACAGAATCAATGAGAAAAATGTAAAGATTGAACATTATCTGGTGGAATTTCCTCAATGGAAGCGAGAGGTGCAAAATCATTCCTCGTTAATCCTGTATTAAGCACATTAACTGGGTAATAACTGAAATGGATGACGGACAAGGTCGATTGTTTTGATTGCGAGTTTTACACCTCTGTGAAATATATATGTTCCTTGGCAGAGGGGCTGGAAAATGAGATCCTGGAGAGAAAATAGAGGTCCATCACTGGTCAAAGGGGAAAGTGAGACAGACCCTGAATGTCAGACTCCATGATTTAGCTCATGTTGCAGTATGATCCACCGTCTTCACTGTTCTGTTCTTACAGCTTCAAATGGGATCCTACATCGTGGATGACTGAATAAAAAATGCATATGATAGTAATATTAAAACTAAAAATATTATTAATAATACAAGTAATAAGACAATAAAATAAATAGTTATATTGTTATTTATTATTATTATTATTATTATTATTATTATTATTATTATTGTTGTTGTTATTATTATTATATTTGTTTTATTAAATCATCCATTATAAAGGACGTATTATTATTAATGTTATGATTAATAATAATAATAATAATAATAATAATAATAATGAATATTATTAATGACAATAATAAAACAAATAATTATAATAAATATATTATCATTAATAATATTTTTCCAGTTTATTATCAAAATTGTTTTATTAAAGCATCCATTATATAGGATGTATTATTATTATTGTTTTTATAATAATAATAATAATAATAATAACCAATATGTTATATTATTTTACAAAAATACTTTACCACAATGCTGCATAAAACAGCCGTTGTTATTGTTTATTGGAGCTTATACATTTTACATATGCTTTATCTATTTTTCTAAGTCTGTTGCTCGGTATTAATTAATGTTGGATAATGTTTACATTTAAAATTAATAATTTATGCATTACTGAATAATGACAAAGATTTTTTTTCTAAATAAACAGTAAAAATGTGTCAGAAATATTTAGTAGATCTGAGCTAACAATCAATATTTGTATTTTTTAATTATCAAATATTAGTAAAAAAAATGATGCATCAATGCATTACACAAATGAACATTTTACGCTATTTGTTTATATAGTATTGTATTATAATATTAATTTATTTGTTTGGGTTTAAGATCAATTTAAATAACAAAAACTAAATTAATTACAACATTTTTTATAATATTAATTGGTGTACATATAATAATATAATGACTTTATTGTATTAATATACTGATGAAGAAGTAATGTATAAAAATAAGATTTTAGATTTTTAGAACAGGTTTATATTATTATTATTATTATTATTATTATTATTACTTTAAACTACTACTTTATAAATATATTACTAAAATTAAGTCTATATTTTCTTATTCTTAATCTTCTTCTTCTTATTATTATTATTATTAATAATAATAAAATTTAGATTTAGAGTAGTTTTATATAGCTATTATTATAAATTGATACTTTATAAATATAATACTACAATTAGGTCAATATATTCTTAATAATAATAATAATAATAATAATAATAATAATAATAATAAGAAGAAGAAGAAGAAGAAGAAGAAGAAGAAGAATTAAATCTTAGATTTAAAATAATTGTTTATTATTTTTATTATAAATTACTACTTTATAAATATATTAAAACATTTGAGTCAATATATTAGTAGTATTAATATTATAAATTACTATATAAATATATTGATACAATTAAGTCAATATAATCTTAATAATAATAATAATATTAGTAATAGGAATAATAATAAGAAGAATTTAGATTTTAAATAATTTATATTATAATTGTTATTATTATTATTATTATTATTATTATTATCATTATTATTATTATTATTATTATTATTATTATTATCATTATTATTATTATTATTATTATAAATTACTACTTTATAAATTTATTAATACAATTAAGTCAATATATTATTATTAACAATTATAATAGTAATTTATATTTAGAAAAATGTATTTTTAATATTATGCCTTTTTTATTACTGTCACTATTATTATTATTATAAATTACTACTTTATAAATATATTAATAAAATTAAGTCTATGTATTCTTAATAATAATAATAATAATAATAATAATAATAATAATAATAATAATAAGAAGAAGAAGACGACGAAGAAGTAGAGGAAATTCTTTTTAAAATAATTATAAATTACTTCTTTAAAAAT